ATCGCTGGGCATCCAATGGGATCGCAGCATTAGCCTATAAGAACGCTAAAGAACCAATCACAAAGCAAGAGGCGTGAGCATTAACCACGCCCTACATGTCTTAAGTTGATGCTGAGTATCGATCATGGGCCATCAGAGCACAAAGTTGTGCTAAAAACAAAATCAATGTCCTACTTCAAAAAAGAAAAAAAAAAAAAAGAAAGAAGAAGAAAAGGATTCGAATACGTGCCATTTTTTAGAGAAGTGTTTCCCAAATGAAGGTCCGCGGACCCTTTGGGGTCCGCGAAGGCATTCTAGGGGTCCGCGAAGCCCCGCCTCATCAGTCAATCCCGGCAATAAAAGTATTTTCTTCACATTGAGAAGAAACGTTCCAAATTTTCGGGTGACTTTTCTCGTGTACATGTTAACGAGAAAAGTATACTTCACACTATACTCCACCTCATGAGTTGCGTGTAGCAAAGGCAAAAGCGCAGGCGCGAGCGCTTGCTTTCAGATTTGCCTTCCTTTCACGAGCACTCGCGGAAGGAAAGCAAATCTAGAAGTCATATGCCCGCGCCTATGCCTTTGCCTTTGCTGTACACAACTCCTGAGACAGAGTATAGCCCTAACTTATACCCATTTATTAAATCATTATCATAATTAAGCTATATCTTCCCTTTCCACTGACCACGAACAGGGTCCTCCATCGTCTCCGCCGATTCACAAGGGGTCCGCGAAACAACATTTAATTTCTTGGTGACAAGTGTTTTTCGCAGATATGAATTCCATATGTGTCAACAATCTAAAATCTTGTTTGACATCGGTGACATTGTTACGTGAACAATGTTTGACATTGTCCACGTAACATCGATGTTACGTGGACGTCGGCTAATAGAAAAATTTCGTCTTTATAACTTTTTTTCATTATCCAAATAACGTCATATTCTCTAAATTTCGCGTTATATACCAACCACTAGCCTCAAATTCTCCCGGTATAGACTCACGGAGTGTGAGTTTACTGCGATGCATCGTTTATTTGCTCGAATCAAAAAACAAAACTAACAAAACAATACGTCGACGTCATGTACTAGATACAAGGCTGAAAGTTGTCTAAGAAATGCTTCGCGCATGGTTTCCCGCCTTTTTTTTTTCGACTCGCTCCAGTCCTCAGTGAGTTTTTGGTCCCTAGATGGCGGCAGTGGGCGGTCCCCCGGCCGTCGTTGACCCGGCAATCGTTGCACCGTTGCACGTCCATCTCCTCCACGTCTGAGGTCCGGGTGTACTGCAGGTGTACTTAGGTCCCGTGCAAGGGCGCCGCAGAATTATTGATCAGGGGCCAAGGTTAAATGCGGCCCCGTCGTGGCCATCGCCAACAGGTCGAGTTAGGTTTGCTCGGGCCCGAAAGAATTAGCCCGTAAGCCGGCTTTGCCGTGTCTCTGTACAGGTAGACGCCATCGGATTAGGTTCCCGATACACTCTACTTTAAAATATGCGATATAATGCTTGGAATCCTTCTCATATAACTGGATGCCTGCATTCGACAAAAATGAAATGCATGAATATCTATACTTTGTCGTTGAGCAATTTAAGACAAAAAATGGACTGTCCAAGGGGGGAAAAATACAAACGACGAGTGTGATTTAAAAAAAAAAATATATATTAGCATTACGGCTGTAGAAAATATTGTGCAACAACCCATTACAAACCTGAATTCATTTCGAATTATAACGTAGGCAGAGCCTTAGGTCTTTGCGAGTGATGTCCCACATCATCTACTGTTACTCGTCTGTCTCACAGAGTCAGACACGTTCAGTCTTGTCACCAGTCGGGAATGTGGTCGGGCACCTGGCTCCTTCTTCATGGCTGAGACATGTGCGTCCTTCCTTGAGCCCCTGTATTTATTCAAACGTACCTCTTCAATACAAAAGAGTTTCTTCACACTGCACGAAGTCTCCGATAAATGTTAGCACCAGACACACGCTCACACTACACAAAGATGAATCACTGTGCACACTGCTGCACTTACGTGCAGATCACAACTGGAGAAGGCATTGTTTTTGGATACCGAAGCCACAAATGAACAAAAGTTGCACGTTCAAACATTTACAGACAGCCGTTACTAGGGAAACCGTGACCTCGTAAGAAAAAACACTTATAAGCCACTACGATAACGGAAGCTTTAAGGTAACGGGATTGCGAATAATCTTGGAATCGCCCTCGCACATAGAAAGTATTATTTGATTGCTTTGAATACAAATCAATTAGTGAAAAAAAGACGAGGACATGAAACTAAGAGAGGACAGGCGGTTGCTGTGTTCGTTGCTGCATTTGATTAGATTTCGCATTGCAACGCACGCCCGCCGAACTTTTTTCAAGGGGGGAAAGAAAAAAAAAAGGGGGAGGGGGGAGTATTGTAATATTTTCGGGGAACGGGAGAAACTCTGGAATTACGGACGAGAGGGTGGCTCTCAGAAGCCACGATTGGCCAATCGAACGCGTTCGAGGAATGCAGTGGCCTACCGACTAATCCTTCCAATCAGAGCTCGGCATTTTGACGTCTCTGTGAGCTCTTGTCTCCTCCCCACCCTCAGTTTCTCGGCGCATTATTCTGCTTTCATCGGCGAAAATAATCGTAATGCCAGACTGTCCACTTTTACGGTGTTGGTTTTATGAACACGGTATGGCTTAAGCTTCCGCCGTACTTGCAACACAAACAATCGAGCTTGTCGTTCACATTCGAAGATCCTAGTCACGCCGTCACGTGTGCAAATATAGAGCCTCTAAATATGCTGCGCTTTAGAGTAACGACACTTCAGCTACCTATGAATTTTGGATTAGGATTGAATGGAGACCCCTTTGTAACGGGGGGCCGCTCGCCGGAGGTTCCGGTGGGGGCCTGATAAAAGCTAGCTCGGCTGAGTCCGCCAAGTGCCCAGCAAAAGCCTAGCCGAGTTCTTCAACTGTTGGATCGGTTTAATTTATTGGGTCGGCGTGGGTGCGTTCCATGGGTCCGGCTTATGCCTGAAGCACCTGAAGTCCACCCGGGCGAGTTGCCGTCTTCAACATCCCCCAGGAACACTCCCACTATACCCTGTATAGTGGGAGTGTTCCTGTCACTATACCTTCAGTCCGAGCGCACCGGACGCTAGATGCCATCCTAGCCAATCCAGCGTTGAAAGAGTGTCATGTGACCTTGAGCTCCCTGTGTCGCTCTGCACAATTAACCGGCAGGTCACGCGCTTTTCTCCCGTCGCTGGATCGGCTGGAATAGCTCGTGGCGTTCACTGCGCTCGGACTGAAGGTGGAACGGAGTATAGTCACTTACTCAGTTTAAATTGAGAGTTAAATATAAAGGAAATAAACTGTTTCTCTCGACCTGCACCACCCTGACGGTATAACAGGTTTAATCCAATTTAAAATAAGGAATGAGGGCGGTAATTGGCCAACAGTTTCTTTAGTTCTTCAAGCCAATTAAAAAGAAAAACAGGGAGGCAGCTCAACCTTGGCCTTGGAACAAACTTGGAAACATTTTGCGGACATGTATGATTATTTGTGTTTCGTTTATGTTTTTTTTTTCGCCCTTGGTATTAAGATATTAATTGTTGTTCCGCTTGGTTTTGCCCTTTGTCTTTGGTGTTTTTGACGACGAGGAAGTTCTCTTGTTCTTGTTTAGAGTTTTCGTACTGGAATATATATATATATAAAGACTGGAAACAATTTTAAAAAATCCTATTCTCTTTTTATGACTTATTTAATTAACTATGTTTATCTGTGTATCTTTGAAATCTCGTGTATGTTTGCATTCTATTTATTATTTGTCTTTCGCATTATTTTTATATTTACTTTCTTTTTTCTTGGGGGGGGGGGTCGTTGCAAAGAAAATTTTATTTCATCGTTGTTTTTAAATGTTTCAATGATTATTATTTTTTCTTGCTGTCTTTTGGAGAATGTATCATCCGTATACCTGGGATCGCGGCCCAAGAGTACGCCCCCGAAACATCTCGTCGTCAATGGGGAGAGCAATTTCGCCTGCTTCTTGCATACGGTTTGCGATGATGTCAGTACGCTGAGCTCTTATTGGCTCATAGAAAAACAAAAAAGTGGGTAGACCAGACTTGGAAAGTAATCCGTTACAAGTGACGAATTACTTGTAATACGTTACTTTTTCAAGTCATTTTGTAATTGCCCCGTTACTTCTTTTCTGAAGTAATTTGTAACATAATTTCGTTGCAAAATATTGGTAACGGATTACTTAAATTACTCGTTACTTTTTAAAAATACGAGCATAATACAGTAACTGTAGCAATACAAGCAGAACATTCAGCAGCATAAAAAGAGCAAGTTTAACAAAATAGAAAACATTAGGAAGGGGAGAACAGGCGAAAACACGATTTTTTGAATGACTGGTCACTACGTCCGCCATCTCCGTGGCCATTTCTTAATGAGATGTTCAAAATCCAGGGCATTCAGGAGAACGGAAAACTAGTGTTTCAGTGCATACTTTGCTCGCAAATAAACACACGCATTGCCACCAGCAAGAACAACAAGCTCTAATCTACGGAAACACCTGAAGGTAAGCTGGGAGACCTGCATTCTGCATTGGCTATATACATTGTAACGTGAGCACCAAGTTTTTCTTTTCGTATGAATAAAAAGCAAAACACACGAGTCAAAAGGTAGTTTCCATAGACGGTTTCTTTACCTCCGAATCTCGTAGCGGAGGTATACCCTGCTACTGAGCATGCGCACCGCTAGCTTTGTCCGCACAATTCCAGGGATCATTTACCGAGGTCGTAAGCTAGCGCGATGGCGGGGATGGTTGCAGCTTTCAATGCCTTGTCAGCTTACATGGGAACGAAGTGCCGCGTAACTCTTTCTCTTAAATTCAATATTTTATTTTTGCAAGGACTGCGAGGACGACGACGAAGTGATCTGGGCCGGACGCATCTCGCATCAGCTCCGTGAACTTTTCAAGCTTTCAGCGAACCTCTGCAGTATAGTTCCAAATCTTAACCACCAACATGCGGTGGAACACGAGAGAAACCCCCGGACACCAAATTCTTGGGTGAGCGGGCTGTTTTTTTCTCAAGATTTCACCGTTTTTCTCGACGAAACAAGGCGCCGCCTTGCTCAGCCTCGCGCGCCATCAAAAGACAAATGGAGGGCGGCCGTAGCTGCCGCACCGACGACAAGATGGACACTCGAAGCTTCGAAATACCTCTTTTGACTCCCGGAAACGGAGTCGTCGAGGTAGAAGGAGAAGAAATCACTCCGGAGGAGTTTCACTCTGCCGGGGGAGGTTGGATGCCGGTCTTACTCAAGGCCCGAGCAGAAAAGAAAGCGCTAAGCCTAACGGCCGGTTCCCAGCCAAACCGCACTCTTGGTAGGAACAACGGGCGGGACGGCCGAGCTCGAATCAAGAAGGCGCCAAGGCCTCCGAAGCTTCCGGAAGATGATGCGACAGGGGCGGATCCAGGTTTTGTTTAAGGGGGGGGTCCAGCAAGGACCCGGGAAAGGGGGGGGGGGGGGGGGGATAGACCCATCATTCGACCGCGGAAGCCGGGCATCACTCCCTGCTCCCTCTCCCCCCCCCCCTCTCCTCCTACTTCCCTGAGAAACGGACCGTCGTCTTTTTCACTGGTGTCCGGAAAGCTTAACTGGCTGTCTAAAAAAAAAAAAAAAAGGGGGGGGGGGGGGGGGTCCGGACCCCAGGACCCCCCCCCCCTGGATCCGCCCCTGTGCGAAAATCGTTTTTCGACTTCGGGGAGGACTAAACGTGCGGAAAGAAGACAGAGTCTTGGTCCAACGCAGCATTCAACGCGCGGCGCAGCTCTCATCGGAGAACGCAGAACACGACGCTTTTCGCTTCAACGAGGAACAAAATACGCTCATCGTGAGCACCCCGGCACTCGAAAACGCCGTCAAATACGGAGGAGTGCACTCTATAAGCCTCAAGGGACAAACCTACGAGGTTGTAGCGTACGCAATACCGCCAGACGACACCATAAAGGGCGTAATTCACGGGATACCGGACGAAGACTCCGAGCAAGACGTTCTAAACAACCTAGTCACGGCGAGGAACCCAAACGTGCTCCACGCCAGACGGATGGGCCGTTCCAAGTCGGCGGTGGTACTTTTCAAGGGCCAGAAGGTGCCGTTCTGGATCATGTACGGCAACGTGGAGTACAAGTGCAACCTGTACAAGAAAAAGATCGAAGTATGCGGTACGTGCGGCGGAGTCGGACATCGGTCCGACGTGTGTCCGCGACCGAAAGAGCAACGGTGCAAGATTTGCAACACTCTAAACCCGACAGACGGCCACGCGTGCTCGCCGTCGTGCGGCATCTGCGGCAAGGCTCACCCCACGGGTGACACACGATGCAAGCAGCGTTTCAAGACGCCGTACATCCTGCAACAGCGGCAGTGGGAGAAGAAGAAGAAACAAGAGGAGAGCAGGTTCAAGGAAGAGGACTTCCCGCCGTTACCCAAAGGACGGTCGCGGTCGCGTTCGCGGTCACGGAGCCGAGCATCCGTGCGGTCAACCTCGCGGCACCGGTCCGGCTCGCGGCGGAGATCGAAGTCCAGGAGGAGGTCCAGCTCCCGACAGCGAGTCAGCTGGGCCGGGGTGACCGACCACAAGGCCTCGGAAAAGAAGAGCAAGGAGGCCAAGACGCAGAACGACAAGTTAGACGAGATCCTTGTCATGATGCGACAACTCCAGGAAGAAAACAAGGCTCTACGCGTGATGGTAGAGAAGACCGAGAAGGAGAACGCATGGCTGAGGACACAGCTTCAGCAGAAAAGCAACGAGACGGAGAAGGAACCGGAGAAGGCTTCGCCACCCGCGAAGAGGAAGATGGTCGTAAGACCGGGGCAAGAGACGGTCGCATTGGATAAGGCCGAGGCGCCGCTGCAACAGGAAGTTAACAAGCAGGTGGTCGAGCTGATGTGCAACCCCGAGTGGCTGACGCAGCTGGCTAGGCACATGGAACAACTACGTACGGCACAAGTCGTTAGAAACCAAGATGGTGAACAGTAAAAAGTACATAATTTGGCAGTGGAATTGCCGCGGGTTTGGCAAAAAGAGGGGCAACCTGCAGCAATACGTGAATAACAAAGACGAAAAGGAACGACCGGATTTGATTGCCTTACAAGAGGCGAAACAACTGGCCAAACTGTCGGGTTACAAGTCCTACGGCATGGATACCAAGGAAAAGACGCAAGTGGTCACGTTGGTCAAAAGGAACATACCGGTCGTCGTTCATGACACAGGCGTTTCAACAGTAGAACACGTGCTAATCGAGATAATCTCGGGGAAGAAGAAAGACCAGCGCAGCCTCTTCGTGCTGAACATCTACAGCAGCCCGGCGAAACGGCACAGATTCGCTTCCCTCTTCCAAGCAACTCTGAACATCGCCAGACGCCAGACACTGGTCGTGGTTGGGGACTTCAACGCCCAACATCCGGACTGGGGATACAAGATCGAACGACCCAAGGGCCGAAAACTGTGGATCGACTCTCACGAATGCGGACTATCCCTGATCACCGATCCGGATCATCCGACGAGGAGAGGAGCCGCCCGACAACAAGACACTACGCCAGACCTTACGTTTGTGCGCTATGCAAAGGATGCAGAGTGGACAAACACGTGGGAAGACCTGGGTAGCGACCACTATGTGCTAAAGATAACGATCCGCGCGGGCCCTGGAAAGCCGCGGGGCAGAAAGTGCAAGATCACGGAATGGGATAAGTTCCGAGAGCTGATGGGCGAATACGAGACGGAAGACGTCACAAACATTGGCGAGTGGATGGAATGCCTGCTGGCGGCTGCCGAGCAGACGACCAAGGTGATTCCGGAAGAAGCGGACGTGGCCGCTGCAGATAGCCGACTCTTACACTTATGGGAGGCTAAGGCTAGTCTGCAGAAGCGGCAGCGTACGCAACGTAACAATCGGAACCTTCGAAGAAAGATCGCTGAACTCAGCAGAACGATCGAGACGTACGCTGACCAGGTTACGCGTCAACAGTGGCAGGATACCTGCGAAGGGTTCGACGGTCAGCCCAATGTACCCAAAACTTGGAACATACTGCGGCACCTACTGGATCCGGACGGTTGTAAGACGGCTCAGCGTAGCAAGATGTGCGAGATCATTCGAAGTCACAAGGGTGACGAGGACGACCTAGTAGAGGAGATCCGTAAGCGATATATTGGTGACAACCCGCCGAGAACACCCACGACATACGGCGGTGCAGACAACGAGGTGCTAGACGCGGACATTTTTGAGTTTGAAGTTGCCGAGACACTGCGCAACTTGAAGACCAAGTCTGCTCCGGGACCGGACGGTGTTACCAACAAGATGCTGCGGAACCTGAGCAACGAAGCCATAACCGGCATCACAAAGTACATCAACGAGTGCTGGAGACAAGGCCAGCTACCACGGCAGTGGAAAACGGCCAAAGTGGTCCTGATCCCAAAACCAGGCAAGAAGCCTCAGCTCGACGCTCTGCGCCCAATCTCGCTCACGTCCTGCGTGGGCAAGATATTGGAGCACGTCGTTCTACGGAGAATCAACGACTTCATGGAGAGGAACCAATTGTTCCCTCACACCATGGTTGGATTCCGGCCACACTTGTCTACCCAAGACGTGATGCTGAGGCTCAAGCACCAAATCATAGATGGCGAAAAAAGCTCTCATCTCGACACTAGGGTGATCCTGGGCCTCGACCTTACGAAGGCCTTTGACACTATCAGGCATGATGCGGTCCTTGAGAACCTGGAGAAGCTGGGCGTAGGGCGACGCACGTTCAACTACATTCAAGACTTCCTCAGCGATCGGACGGCGCAAATCTCCATCGGTGGCGTCACGTCCGACGACATCAATCTAGGCGGGCGAGGCACACCTCAGGGCTCGGTCCTGTCGCCATATCTATTTAACGTGGCGATGATTGAGTTGCCTGCGAAGCTCAGCAAGATCGAGGGGCTGCACCACAGTATATACGCAGATGACATCACGCTCTGGATGACCGGCGGCTCTGACGGGTTCATCCAAGACACGCTACAAGAAGCGATACGGACGATTGAGGAGTACGTCACTCCGAGGGGCCTAACTTGCTCTCCACAAAAGTCGGAGCTCCTCCTCCTCAAACCTGTTCGGTCCCGCCAGCTGCCGTCGGACATCGCGCTCTACTCGCAAGGACTGCGTATCCCGTCGGTGAAGAGCATTCGCATCCTGGGTCTGCGGGTCCAGGCGGATGGCAACAACTACGAGATGATCGAATCGCTCAAGGCGTCAACTTACCAGATCACCCGGCTTATTTCACGCATCTCAGGCCGTCACTTCGGGATGAGGGAAGGAAATCTTGTACGCCTCGTCCGCGCTTTCGTCGTGAGCCGGCTGGCATACGTCCTTCCCTTCCTACGGCTCGGGATGGCGGAGAAAGCCAAACTTGACTGCTTGATTAGGAAGGCCTACAAGCGAGCACTTGGCATCCCGGATTCTACGTCAAACGAAAAGCTGGCGGCGCTGGGCCTACATAACACCGTGGAAGAGATCGTCGAGGCGCAACGGACGTCTCAGCTCGAACGGCTAACAAAGAGCGCGACCGGGCGTCACATTCTCGAAAACCTGGGCATCCGCTACGAAAGACAAACGGGCGAGAAAATAGACGTGCCGAGACGGGTCCGGGAGAAGCTTACCATCCCAAACCTGCCACGTCACATGCACCCCGTGCACCATGTGGAGCGACGAACGGCGAGAGCCAAGGCCCTTCGAAGACTACTAGAGAAGGAAGAGGGCGTCTACTACACGGACGCTGCGAGGTACGACAGGGATGCCATGGCCGCAGCCGTGGTTGACAAGCAAGGGAAGATCGTTGCGAGCTGCAGTGTCCGGACGACAGAACCGGAGGTAGCCGAGGAAGTGGCCATCGCTCTGGCACTCAAGCTGCAAGACGCTAAAATCATTGTCAGCGATTCGCAGATGGCGATTCGCCAATACGCCAAGGGACGGATCTCGCCGGTTACGCTTCGAGTACTAGGTGATCCTGAAAAGACTGCGAAGGTGAAGCTGATCTGGACTCCAGCACACTCGTCGCTCCCCGGCAACGAGGAGGCTCACGACGCGGCCCGAGGTCTCACTCGCCGGGCCGGAGCAACGTCGGACCCCTCCATCGAATCGTCGTCGGGGGGCGACAGACTGGTTACGTTCCGAGACATCCTCGATCATTACGCCGGCGAAAGGATGCGCTACCCTCCGGCGCATCCCTCGCTGGACAAAAGACAAGCGGTAGCTTGGCGGCGACTACAGACAGGCACCTACCATAGTCCTGCCCAGCTCAGCGGATGGTATCCGGATCGCTACAAGGGAAACTGCCAGCTATGTGGTGCAAGAGCGACTCTTCGCCACATTATTTGGGAATGCAGCCGGCTCGACCGCAAAGCCCAGCCACTACTAAAAAAGATCACCAACCAAGAGAGCTGGGAAGCTATTCTTCTCTGCACCGACCTTGAGGTGCAGGAACAAGTCGTCCGACTGGCCGAGGACGCCGCTGGAGTCCAAGGGATTCTGGCCGTCGCCTAAGGGGTGATTGGGAGGGGACTCCTAGATGGGCCTCTGACCAATTGCTTAGTCTTTCTGGGCGCAATTAAAGGTTGCCTGCTGCTGCTGCTGCTGCTGCAAGGACTGCCATCATACGGGCGTACGAGAAATGAAAAGTAGTGTTGCAGGAAAGTTTTGAAAAATATCAAAATTGTTATTGTTGTTTTCCGGATAAGTGTACGGAAAAAAGTGACGTGAAAGTAATTTGTAACGTAACGTGTAAAGTAATCCGTTTTTTTTTTTCAGCGAAAGTAATTTGTAACGGTAATCCGTTACATTTGAGGCTCGGTAATTTGTAACAGTAATTCATTACATTTTTCAAGTAACGAGCACAAGTCTAAGGTGGACCTCGAGGCATCTAGCGTGAAGGTCTACCACACCCCACTCTCTTCCCAATTATAGCCAATCAGAACTCGGCGTCGTTATGACGTCACTGCAACTGCTGCGCAGGAAGCAGCCGACTTGCTCTCCGTATAGCCCATGGCACCAACTATGGGCACCGACAACTTGAGAAACGCGTGGCGTGAGGAGTTCCGAGCATCTCACCATTCAGACAATCAGAATGCTGCATTGTCCGATGAAAACGCCCGTGAACTATTTGCGCCTAAGCAAGGGGCGTGAGCTGATTAGCCACGACAAGGGGTTTCTTCTGTGTTTAGGGACCATGACCTGAGTCACTTACTTTACTATACTCGTCTTCACCTCAAGAGCCGAAGTAAAAAAAATTAAAAAAACGCCTCCTCGCGTAGCATTGCTACACTTTCCCTCTATATCCGCGGAGAATCGAGATATATATGTACGTGCATTTTAGATTAGTTATATGTTATCTTGTCGAAAAGTACACGTTTGAAACGCATAAGCATCGCTTGTTCCTTCGACAACCAAATTTTGTGAGAACTACTTTGTGCGGCGTATGAATAGTGCGCGAAACTTACTTTTTTCTTGAGGTTAAAACGAGATCATGTTTGCTTTGGCGTGGTAGCTCTTGACTTTATCTTTTCTAAGTCGTGACATAAATGCCCCAACCTGCGCATCATAAGCTAATAAAGTTGTGTTCCTGCGTTGCGTCTCTTGTATTCCTTTTCTACAGATATGTAGTACAGCTTTCTTAGAAACCAGAACCAAAAGCGTAAACACAGAAATGTAAAGGTCAAACGAAAAGAATAAATGCATCTATTTCGATGTTTTAGTGCGGCCGTCAAGTTATACTCTATATTTATATACGTTTCCGTGTAAACTCGATCTCAAAATCACTTTGTTTCGAAGGGAGCATCGTTTACCGGAAAATTAAATCGACCGAGCTGTTTTCTTTGAAATCAATGTTGAGGACAGAAATGGAACTTGAGCAATCGGGTTTTCTTTCAAGTAAACAGGACTTCACTCGTCTCTAGGTTTTTTGTTTTTTTCCCGAAGATGAAAGACTGCAAACAATATGGTCGTCCCTTCCATACATTGTTATTGATACGAGGTTTTCCATTTTAGTTGTCTGCTTCTTATTTCTATGACAGAAACATTCTGTTAGAAATTTAGGGGCGGACCTACTCATGAAGGTATGTTTAAACAGAATCCCCGACGTTTATAACGATCGAATTCTTGGTTTCGTACAATAGAGTATTTATATTTTAGAACAAAAACACGAATTCGTCAGATAGGTTTCAGATTTCTTGCACTGCTAAGTGCTGTTTCGCACACCCAACCAGTAGATAAATTCATGATAAACAAAAACAAAAACTTGTAAACGGATGGAATCAGTAATACAGCAACAAAAATAGGAATGCGTGAGTTCATGTCCAACCAGCTGAGTTTTTGTAAAAAAAAAAAACGCGTTACAAAAACAAACAAAAAACAAAAAAAAAAGTGACGAGAAGGGAAAAAAAATAATTTACGCACGTTAGTTGTGAATCATATGTATAGACCTTTTTCGCAAGGGCGTCGCAATCTTGAATTGTCGACACTTCCAGTATAGGCGAAAACATTGGTTTGCCTTGGCCACGCCAATAGAAGGCATTTAGGACATAAATGTAACCGTCACGCATTCTCGTTTTGCCTCCCCTCTTTTTTTTTTCTTTTTACTATTTGCAGGTTGAAACGTTTTGATATTTTTTCGTCGCCTATATGCCTACTTGGCCGTTGGGGGCGAGAGTAAGCGGAAAAGGTCTATAGTTAACGCGAACGCAGACTGCCAAAACAGCTGTGCAGCTATCTTAGTATAACTACGTCAGAAATATATCTTTAGATGTAAGTAAGATTGACTGCATATCATCTATACAAGGTGTTTATTTTCCAGATTAACAAATTTGTTAAAAAAAAGCAAAAAAAAAAAAAAAAAAACGCCACGAAAGCTACACTAACGCTGTTTGTGCAGCGAGTTATACGGCCAGGGGGACATAGTGTAGAGGGCTAAGCGTAACGACCAGTCGGATAATTAAGCTAATTATTTAAAATAAACATGGTTCTAATTAGGAGCTTGCTGAGCGTCATCGAAATCCACTAAATCAGTCGATATTTTGAATACTTACGGCACGTGGGCAGCACGGAGGAAGGGCGCTAAAGTTATTACTCGCACGTGCTGCAGAAGCAAGGCTGCCGGTGTGTTAAAGGGCCCGTGCCGTTTTTACGTCTCTTATCATGATCCGCGTTTTTTCACTCTAGCCATTACAGTCCTTATACAGTTATAGATAAAATAATAACAATAAAATCCAGGTCGTGGTTTACTATGTTCACCAAACAAACAATCAGACAAAAAAAAAAGAAGAAGAAAAATTTGAAAGACGCCTTGCGGGTTTAACAACTAATCGAAACGCAATAAAAAAAAGAATACAAGAGGGAACATTTTAACAGGTTCACACTAATCAATCTGATCCCCACCAAGCTCGTAAAAATTAGACTTCCGTGTTAAGCTCACTGCTATCATCATCATCAGTGTTGTCGTAATTCTTATCAACGTCATCGTTCTGCGGTCGTGACCAGAATGATCATTTTTGGGGTCGTAATCATGTCATGCTTCACTTTTATCCCGAGAAACGATCAATGCATTTTATATTATCTCTCTCCTTTATCTGTACATTGCACACAGTAACTGAAAGCTTAAAAGAAGCCCTGCAACAACTTTTTTACTGGTTCCTAATTTGCACCGAACCTGAGCGCACTGAACGTAGAAACTTAAAGAAACTTTTCTTTTCTCAAATTTCGCTGTATTTTAAAAGTTATATATAGGCGAATTAGAATTACAAAAACAAGCAAAAAGTAACCTCCTTCATGACGTCGTAGGTCATGGCTTGAGTGGCTGTCAGCTAGAGGAGGGGTAGTGAGCTCAGCGAGCGGTCACGGTTGGCGCACTCCGTGTCGACGGCTCGAGCTCAGGGCGCCAATAAAGCACGTGTTGGAGAGGCTGTATGAAGCGGGAGGGCAGGGCGGATCGCATTGCATTTGCTGCGCGATTAAAGACTAATTCGGCATAATACTTCATTGGTCACAAACTACAGCAAATACGGGGTAAAGATAAGTTCAGAACGGGAGCTACTTCACGCTGCCATACCGCCAAATGGTCAAATCGCCAGCCAAGCCCGCGCCGAAAGCCTTTGGAACGCTCGGAACCGGTCGGATCCTGGAGCCGGTTACGACCGCAGCGAAGCCGCGTACATCCGGGAGCTTTCTACGCTCGCAGTTCGTCGGAGCCTCATCTCATTTGCCCTTTGTACTAGTATGCGCCGTTTTTTCCGTCGCTTGGTGGCTGGTTTGTCGACGGATCTTTTCATACTTCCGTAGTTTATGAACTGCATTTGTTTCTTTTCTGATCTAAAACACTCAACAAAAACTACTTTCATACATAATTGAAACGGTTCGCGACACTTACATTTTGTATCTCGACTAAAAAAAAACAAAAGCTTTTAGCGGCTCTGACCAGTAGTAAGCCCAGCACCGTCACATATTGCGCGCTTTCGGCAACGGGCGTCGCCGTCATAGGTGGAGGAGGTTTCCGCGTCGTCCGGTTAAAATATGACTCACTGATATTTAGTTATCTTCTCCGTGCCCGTTGGCTTGCCCGAACTCCAAGACACGTGGAAACCGCAAAAAAGGTAGACACTTAAATGTGATTGCAGGGCCCCTTTAAGAACCAGAATGTCGTGTGGAGTAGCGAGCACTTTATTACCATTTCTCAGCCGACAAGAGTGCGCGGCATTGGAAAATAGAAAGCTCGGACAGGGAATCACAAAGCGAGAAATTCGAACCTAATAAGGCTGCAATTCCTAAACTGTAACTGTACTATAGGTCAATCTCAGAAGCGCCCATGGCCTTCATAAAGCTAAGTGTTATATTACGCAGACAATAAGAATATGTTACCTTCTCGAAAAGTACGCGTTTGAAACGCCATAAGCATCGCTTCTTCCTTCGACAACCAAATTTTCTGAAAACTACTTTGTGCGGCGTATGAACAGTGCGCGAAACTTATTTTTTTTTCTTGTGGTGAAAACGAGATTCTGTTTGCTTTGGCGTGGTAGCTCTTGATTTTTTTTCTTTCCCAGTCGTGACTTATATGCACCAACCTGCGCATCAAAAGCTAACAGAGTTGTGTTCCTGCGTTAAATCTCTTGGGTTCTTTTTTCAGTCACACGTAGAACAGCTTTCTTAGGAACCCAAACCAAAGCGTAAACACAGAAATGTAAAGGAGAAACGAAAAGAATTAATACTGATATTTCGATGTTTTAGAGCGGCGTCAAGTTATATTTTATATTTATATACGTTTGAGTGTAAACTCCATCTCAAACTCACTTTGTTTCGAAGGGAGCATATCGTTCACCGGAAAATTAAATCCACCGGGTTGTTTTTTTCGAAATCAATGTTGAGATCAAAAATGGAACTTGAGCAATCGGATTTTCTTTCAAGTAAACAGGACTTCACTCGTCTCTAGATTTTTTCTTTCTTTCCCAAAGATGAACGACTGCAAACAATATGGTCGTCCCTTACATATATTGTTATTGATACGAGCTTTTCCGTTTTAGTTGTCTGC